ATGGGACTTATTTTTGTCCCCCCAATCCCGGTCCCCCCAAAATCCCCCCAGAACCGTCCCCCGTCCCGTCCCGTCCCCCTTCGTCCCGTCCCCCAGTCCCCGTCCCCGTCCCCTTGCCAGCATTAATTGACGATTCAAAGTGATATATGTTTCCACATATATCCTTTCTGTTAGGGCACATGCAGATAATTCTGTGATCTTTTTTACAACAGAGGCTTTATATGTTGCCATATATCACCTTTCTATTGTGTGATTTTTTACAATGAAAGTTATCTATGTTGCCACAGATACCATAATTCCTCCTTTCCGACATGATTGACATATAATAATAATCATTAATATATCAACAAAAATGAACACTTTATCAATTATTTTTTACAACTTATCAACAAAAAGGTAATTCAAAATGGTATACATAACCATCAAAATAAATCTAATCAATGGTGGTAATCACAACATTTTCATATGGAGTTATGAGCTTTGCTTTCTAGGCCTCTGTGCATCTTCATTGTTACTAACGTAGCCACTCTGAGCTTTTAAAATCCCATAATTCCATGGGAGTGAAGCATATCTCATGCGAAGGTATTGAGAAATAATTCCATAATATGATATTTGTAGTCCATCATTCACAAACTCAATATACTCAACAACAAAAAGTCCACAATCTCTACATGGTAAATCATAAATTAGAAAATATAATAAACTAACAGTTAACAACATCACACTTTGACAGTGGTAGAACAAAAAATTAATGTGATACGTACAGACTATTGCTTTTTGTTTGTTGGGCAATACCAATAACATGTTTGACTTTGAATGGGTGAGATTAGTTCCTGCCCTGTTAAGATTCAAGAACTGATCAGTTGGTTCGGTCTTTTTGCTCAAAAAAAATCGTTGGATTCAAGATACTTTGGCAACATTGTAGACAACTTTTGAATCTCGGAGGACAATTTTCTATTAGTTCTAGATGAGGACATCAAATCATACACCTTTATGCACCGTTCCTTCAATACAACGACATCCAGGACCCAATGAAACTCCCCATTACAATTTGCAGGGACATAAACCTCATGTGTGAGGTGCCAAGGTAGTCCAGTGAGTATACTAAACCCTTTGATAATGTCAACGATTTTATTCTCATTTTTAGAAACAACACTAGCATTGTCAATGTATGTTTTGAGAAAAACAATTAGTAGTGGTATATTGAAATTTAGAATGACTCTGTTGCTTCGACTTCTTCCGCAAATAGTATAAGATGACATCCACATGCTGCACAGATGCATCAACAAGTGTATTTATATATCAATTATTTGTATGTATGAGTATGTCTTAAACAAAACGTAAGTGGATATGGATTTAACTCATCGGTCCAACATCTATTAGGTTGAGACATTACGTAGAATCAATCTTTCTTCTTCGAAAATGCAACTACAAAATCAAGTTGTTTGAATCTAGATTCGAGCAATTGACTAAGTATGATCATCCTTGTCTCTTCTATAATTGTGTAAACATTAAAAATAATTATTTAGTGGACATCAAAAAATACTAATAATAGTTGAATGCCTTTACTTTTTTGCATGATGCTTGTAAAGACCCTTGTTTATCCATTGCGAGAAGGATGACATTAGTTCAGTTGGACCCTCATCGGCAATGTTAAAACCTTCAAATGGATATTGTTACTTCACATCACAACTGACGACTTTCTTCTCTTTCTCTTTCTCGTTCTCCTTGCCTTTTGCGGTTGAGAAAGATACTGGAGCAGTAGTCATTGATTTTTTTTTCTTTTACTAATTATAGATAGTGATCGGAAAATTATTATTTTCAACCTCCTACACTTCAAAGGCTGTGAAATCTTCTTGGATATATGGACATCAATATTATATGTCATTTCCTTAAAAATATTAGTGAGTTCTTTAATATGACTAATAAAATAATCATGTTGCTGCTCACATCCCTCGCATCGACAAGAAGAACATTTGATGTTAGAAGAGGAAGCAACACCAGCAAAAGATTGAGCTCTTGCCACACATGAAGCTTCTTGTGACATTTTATCTACAAGGTAAATAAAAAAGGTCGAGAGTTTACAACTGATTATAAAATGATAAGGGGTAGCTATTTATACTTATGTTGACACAGATGGACATTTTGTTGCCACATATGTACCTTTTGTTGACACAAATGAATCTTTTGTTTCAATATATGGGTAACCTGTTACTACAGATGATCATTCTGTTACTTTAACACATAGGTCACATGTTCCAACATATGACAACTATGTTGAAATATGTATCAACATATCACTTATATGTTGCATCATACGAATGAAATATATGTTGGACAACTGAACATATTTCTACAATTATATGAACAAAATGGTAAAAAAAAGAAAGAACAAAAACAACAAAAATGACTTTTTACTGAATAACAACAATGCATATTCATTTCCTCAAAATTAGATTTTTCTTGGATTTGTCGATTTTCTTTCCAAAACAATAAATAATAAGTACCATTACACCATTATTCAATTTTTACATCTATAGAATGATTTCTTGTTCATTAACCCAAGAAAAGAACTTAGTATCAAGAGTGTGTTGTTCATTAACCCTCACGGTCCGTGGGTGGTGCCCGTCGCTGGCACCTGCAACTTCTGAAATCTGCATTCTGGTCTGTCTAGGATACGGGGTGTTACATGGAATATGGGGCACTATTGTGATGAAGTAAATCGTTCTATCCTAAGAGGGTATATTCCATATTAAAAATCCTATTTATTTATGTATGTATAAAATTTATTAGAATTTCAGCTATTGCATAATAATTCTTCAGCTATAACATTATAAATTCTCTTAGTTATTACTAATTAAAGCAAACGTTATTCACACTCTTTTACACTCTTAGGTACAATATTATGAATTCCATAGATATTACATTAATTATATTTCTATCTTTCATCTTTCCTTATATTTACTTTTGACTAATAATTTTTCGTATTATTACACCGCCCCTATATATGTGATAACATGGTATTGTTATTTCTCCTTTGACGAAACATACTTGGTTGAATAAATTGAAATAATTTACAAGTATATGAATTATATCTTTGTTGGGTGTAAGATGAACAAATGATTATATATAGGATTTCACACATGGAATATATTCTTTAATTTTAGTTTTTCCGATAAAAAAAAACCTTTCTTAGTTAAGTATGGTCGATAATCGATATTGATGGTTTTAATTGTAAGTTCCTAAACCAAAAGGCTCATTAGTGACCGCTGAGCTGTCTCTATATCGCCAAAGCTTCCCTTTTGGAATTCAAATTGTAATATATCGGCAAGAAAGAAGAAAGATTGTCATCGTCGAATTAATTGTGTGAGTTTTCTATCTGTATTGATATTGATGTTCTTTCTGGTTTTAATTGTAAGATTCCTTGATGGTTGAAAATGGGGTTTCCCATTTCAACCTTGCTTCACTGTGATTTCTGGTTTTGCTTGTAAGATTTCTGGATGGAAAATGGGACGGGTGGGGGTTGGGGGTTTCTGATTTCAACAATTTAAGATGTTTCCATCTGATTTCTGGTTTTACATGTAAGATTTCTTGATGGAAAATGGGAGGGGTGGAGGTGGGGGTTTCCCATTTCAAGCTTGCTTCACTGAGATTTCTGGATTTACTATGAACCTTTGGTTTTAATTGTATGTTTTCTTGATCGTTGGAAATGGGAGGGATGGGGGTTTCCTATTTCAAGAATTTACGAATAAACTTTTGAACAAGACTGAAAATCTTAGTTGGTCGAATCAACTTTGTGAGTTTTCTATCTTTATTGATCTTTACTTCCTGCTTCATTTCTGTTCTGGGTATTATTTTGGAGATTTTTGGTTTTAACGGTAATATTTCTTGATGGTTGAAAATGGAAGGGGTGGGGGTGGGGAATTACAGAAATGTTTTTGGAATAACAGATTTCTGGGTTTACTATGAACCTTTGGTTTTAATTGTAAGATTTCTTGATCGTTGAAAATGGGAGGGGTGGAAGATGGGGGTTTCCGATTTCAAGAATTTAGGATGAAAATCTCAATTTTTTTGTTGTTGTCATAATCTGTGTTTGTCGTTTCTTGTTACTCTACTTCTATTCTGGTTTTCATAACATCGCCTTTAAATTTAATGTTTGAACACAACTTTGATTTGTTTAGAGGAATGGCTACAACATCAGCTTACCTGATTCAAGATCAGAATATTAGCCTACACTATAATGATACAAATTTCATCTAACAACTGGAATATACATTGGTGTGATATACTATTTCTTAGCAGGGGGCTTTTCTGGTGGGAAAGAATGGTATCTCAAAGAAAAGAGGAGGGGGGATTGGTGGAAGAAAAGCACTTAATGATATCTCAAAGCCATCTGCTCTACAAGCATCAAAGAAATATAATTCCACAAATGTGAGGGGAAGATCTTGATTTTCCTCTAGAAACAAATTTAGTGCAGGAAGAAAAGATAATTATTCTAAAGTTTTGGAGAAAAAGGGTGGCAGGAAAGCACTAGCTGATCTTGCAAACTCAACCAAGTCATCATCTGTTGCAGAATCAGAATTGCGTCAAAGCACAGAGAAAGGCCATGGACATGAGTTGTTTTCTCAAGGAAGTTGGATTAGATCATGGTACGACCAACACCGATATTTGATTGAACCGTGTATTAAAAATATTTTGCTGATCCAGTTCTCCTTTGGCAGATGATGTCCCTGTGCATCTAGGAGCATCTACACATGCCCTTGAACTATCAATGAAGTCGAAGGTATTTGCATTCCTAGCACCCTTTCCTCATGTACATATTCAATGTTTTTGTATTGAATTTCTGATTTTGTTAAATTAAATGTAGTCATTGACATATCAGCCAGAAAGCCCAACGAAGCATTATGTCCAAGTAGAAGAGCTGCCAGAACTGATCTTTTATGATCAGGTCCGTTGTATATCTTTTTCCCCTTGTGCTGCATCTCCTAAATCAGTAAGGCCACGATATATCAGATGGCTGGATGACAGTGTTCTAGATTTTGCATTGATTTGGAACACCTATCCATTCAAAGAATTGATGGACACTACTTTCAACTCAAGGATCACTCGCAGCCCTTTGAAATATATCCGTTGTAGTCATTGGTCAGTCATCTATCCTAAATGAGCTAATGTTTCTCTTTTTCTAAATTTTTTGTTTCAGATTAGTTTGGATGAATTGGATGAACTCAAGTTAGGATTACTGCATCTTTTGTCTTTCTTTTATTTTGAAACAGTAACATGATTGAAGGGTGATCTCTAATCCTTTTGTCATTTATTGATGGGTATGGAAATATAGCTGGGGTAAGAGATGAAAAAAATACGACTACGGTGGATCGAACCTTGCATCTATAGTATGTTAACTATACCAAGAGTGTGTGTAGACCTTACCCCCAACTTGTGCAAGGTAGAAAGACTGGTTCCAATAGGCCTCAAAAATAAGTTTGAAGAAAATACAAGAGTAAAGAAACAATGATGATAAGGAAAGTATCTAAACCAAATATAGAAGGATAAGCAAATATAATCTAGAAGATATTTGTAGTACTGATAAGGAGAAGAGGGAGCAGAAAAGGTGCTTCAACTAGAACCATGCTCTGCCACAAAAAAGAGAGAAATTGATCAGTTACCGACAGGATGGACTGCATATGGCGGATTTTATCCTTTAGTTCAACTGCAAGGGATAGTACTTAATCTTCAGTATAACCCAGACCAACAGAAATAGAATCAAGTCACTCTTTAGCACCTTGTTGAATTCTGAAAATCTTAGTTGGTCGAATCAATTCTGTGATTTTTCTATCTTTATTGATGTTTCCTTCTAGCTTCATTTCTGTTCTGTGTATTATTTTGCACTTTTACTATGAACCTTTGCCTTTAATTTTTAGATTTCTTGATGGTTGAAAATGGGAGGGGTTTCTGATTTCAAGAATTTAGGATGAAAATCTCAACTAAAGATGAATATACCCCTCTTCACCATTTTGCTCTGTTTGATGATTCGAACCCTACAAATTTAGAGTTGGAGAGGTGGAGGGTGTTAACCACCCCAGCATGTGCATCTGATGGGGGTAGTCTGGTGTTTCATCTATTTCTTTTTTGAAATGCAATTACCAGATTGATTGAACATTGATAATGCACCAAATGTTCCTGCTTATCATCGGCAGGTGATGTTCAATTTTCTCTCCTTGCTGCTGTTGCGGGTTTCAATCTAATCATCTTAACACAAAATATGCCTTAGGTTTGTCATAGTCCGTGTTTGTTGTTTCTTGTTACACTGCTTCTATTTTGGTATTGACAGATCACCTTTAAATTTAATGTTTAAACCACAACCATGGTTTGTTGAGAGGAACGGCTACATCATCAGCTTACCTGATTCAAGTTCTGGATATAAGCAAATTTCTAACAACTGGAAAATACATTGCTGTGATCTTGTATACTATTTACATTCCTAGGACCCTTTCCTGATGTACACATTCACTGTTTTTGTATTGAATTTCTGATTTTGTTAATAGCAGTGTTGGTGGAGAAGACATAAAATTTAGCGTAATGGTCAGCCTTTTCCAATGGATACAGAAGAGAAGAAGCGGTCCAAGATCCGGAATGTGATACCTTCTGCAGGAAGCCTCAAGACAATTTTGCTTCCATGCGACTCACTTTTATGGCCTTAAGGAGCACGTGCTAGCCACTTGCCTCATTGACGCACTTTCCATGTCCGGCGACTCCGATGATGCCCACCATCTCCTCAACTGGCGGAAAGGCAGCCCTAAAACTGCCTCTAATTCCGGCAACTTCTCTCTTGTTCCCACTGAGGTAAATTCTTCTTCACCATTGGAATTCTCTGACGATGTAGAAATAACACAATAGCTATTTGGGGCACTAAATTCAGATTACTGTTCTTGTCCGTTGCTTAATTGAACAAATTATTGAAAAATCCTCCAAAGCAATTGAGTGATTGAGCGAATGCGAAAGAGTTTCACCGCTTAGTTACTTAAGTTTAGCCACTTCCACAATCTTGCCCTGTCATGTTGTACTTAATAATCTCTTCCCTGCTAACATTGACTCCACATTGTCCCACCTCTGTTACGTTAGTTATCCTTTTCTTAAATTGAAAACTTTTTGGTTCTTCTTTTCTTTTGTACATTATTTCCTGTTCTTGTATGGCAGTCCTCAATTTTAATGAAGAGAAATGGAGAATGAGAATGAGATGTATTTGCTTAAATCAATTCGTCAACTACACAATCAGCCCAATCAAATTGAGATATAAAATAAAATAGGACAATTAGAGGGAATCTATGGAAACAGCTGTGTTTATTGACAATCTCCCATAGTCGAACTACACTATAAAAAGAAATAAGAATGAAAAGGTTGAAGTAAGAGAATTGGGGAGGAATAAACAATAGAGAAATCAAATGAGGAAAAAGAGAGGGGTAAATTTACCTACTGATTCTTGATGATTTTAAATGTAGGCTTGCACTAATTCTAAATTAACATATAAGAAGGCGTTGTTCTTTGAGTACTCGGGTGTGAAATGTGTTTGAAATTTGTTAAGGAGGAACATTTTCAAAAAAACAGTTAAATTATGTTGAAGACAAGTGGAGTAAATGATTCTTTTTCTTTTGGTCAACTTGCTTACATAAAATGGCTATAGACTTGTCCTACTTTGTCTAGTACACATATCTTAATTTTATTGTTTACTTTTTGCTCTTCTCTAGTTCATGGACCAAACAATACATGTATCCTTGGGCATCTCCAACCTTACACTCTATTTTACTCTTCAAATATAGAGTTCTCTATTTTTTTAGACAACCAACTCCAACCCAATTCTCTATTTTACTATCTAAACAAGGAATCTTTTTCTCTCTCCTCAATATTATATTATTATTTCTATTTCATTCTTATTTTCTTATTTTATAATATAAATCCTATATTTCTTTTTCCCAATAATTACTTTATATAGTTTTCTTGTGATATAAAAATTTTATTTTTAATTTTTTTATTTAATATAATATTTTATTCTAAATTTTTAAATAGCTTAAATTGCAAAAAAATATCATATAATATATAATTAATAGACAAATTCAAATAAAAGTGAAACACAATTACATAAATATTACTTATACACTCAATTTTCGAAATTATTACATTGCTCCAATAAATGCTCTATTAATGCATTACAGGGTTTAAAATGAGCATTTTTGTCCTTAATTTTTTTTATGTCTAGCTAAAAATTGTTCAAATCTGTTGTTGGAGTTGGAGCCTCTACAACATCTTGAATTGGTGCATTAAGATTACGTTCATCCTCAATTCTCATGTTGTGCAGTATAATACATGTAGTCATTATATCATGTAACACTTCCTTTCTCCAAAAACGTGACGGTCCTGCAATAATTGCAAAATGTGATTGCAAAACTCCGAATGCGCGTTCAACATCTTTTCGGCATGATTCTTGTTTCATCGCGAATTAATTATTATGTTATGTATTGTATTTTATCTTGTATTTAAATTATTATGTTATGTATTGTATTGTTATCTTGTATTTAAATTATCATATTACGTATTGTATTTTAAATTAAATTTTTCATCTTATCATTTTAATTTTGTGTATTTTTTATAGTGAAAATTAATAATAAAATCAAATTATATTATTGACGAAAATTAGAAAATATTAAAATACTATTAATTCGGGATGAAAGTAGTATATATTAAATAATATATTTTTTAAAATATTATATTACATTTAAAAAGAATTATGAATATTAGATATTTAATTAATGACATTATATGGAAAATAATATGTTAATTAGAAAGTCATAGAAATAATAATAAAATATTTAAAAAGTGAAATAGAGAGTGTGAATAGTACTTCTCCAAATATGATAATCTAAATATGAAGAATAGAGAGTGATATGGAGTGCCCACTCTCTATTTTACTCTCCATATATGGAGAATGGAGAGCTACTATTCACCTCTCTAAATATGAAGAATAGAGAGTGATATGGAGGTGGGTTGGAGTGCCCATTCTCTATTTTACTCTCCATATATGGAGAATGGAGAGTAAAATAGAGGTGGATTGGAGATGGTCTTAAATTAATTTCATTATACATGAATAAAGATAATTCTTGTATCACAAAAATCTAATAAGGCCTTTTCTTCTTCCAATACAAAGTTCATTCTCCAACACCTTAAACCTTGTGGTTGGAATTCACAAAACATTCTTCGACATTTCAATTTTGAAGCTCAACTTCTTTCTCCTGGAGTACCAATAACAATGTTGTCTCTTTTTCTTCTTCTTCATCACAGAAAGGTTTACCTGCTGTTCTTGTTGCTACCTTTGCTTATGGAAACAAAACTTTTCCATCCGGTGATTTTTTTTGCAATATCTACATTTCAAAGGTGGTGGGATGATGGTAACTTTCCTTTTTGGCAATGGTTGTGAGAAGGTTGAGCTACATTTTTCTTCTTGTAACTTTTACCTTTTCCACTAAAATTTTACCTTTTTTGAAGACCTTGGGTTGATCATATTATTGACTTATAAAGCTAGCTCATGAGTGATTTCATGATACCTCGTACTTCTTTGTTCTTGGGCGTCAAAGGCACTAATAATTTCTGCAAAAATCATCTTTGCAATATCCATAAAATCCTCGAGGGAAGAGATTTTCAGTGCTAAATTTTTAGGTGAACTTTGAGGACTTTTGCGACAATCCTTTCTTTCAAAAGAGCCTTATCTAATGTTTGGATTTGACTTTCATCAACTTGTTTGGGTATTACGTCTCCATCTCCTCCATTTTAAGTTTTCAAGTTGTCTCTTCAAAGTGATAATATTAATATTTCTGGTCCTATCTGACCTTTGATATTCCTTCTACCAATTTTTCCATATTTCATTAAGAGAAAAGCAAGGCATAGTCTTTATGAAAATTGCTTCTGAGATTGAAGTATATAGATGTGTTAGAGCGTTTTCTTGATGAAGTAATTAGTTCTATTGCAGGCATCAAGTAGATGCTTAATAGTTACAAAAGCAAAGTAGAAAAAGGTCAGCTCTCCTCTTACATTGTTAGTTTAGAGCCAGAGAGCTGACAAAGTTACGAAATGAATCAGGGGAATCTAGAGGGGATAAATAAACCCAACTATACAAATACATGAGGCAATTAGCTTTTCAGGATTGGTAGGTAGTTGATATTCCATCAAAGCATCTTCTATTCCTTTCATTCCAGATACTCCGAACAATGACTGCAGGCATCATCTTCCAGATTCTCTTGATGGTTCTATCAACTTCCAGCAACTTCAGCTTATCAATACATCCTTGATATTCTGAGGCATGACCCATTTGCGACCAATAAGACCTAAAAATATACTCCATAGGATCTGCTGCAAATAGGTGGTTTGTGTGTTTCTGCTTCCTTCATGCACATATAACATCTGTTAGCCATCTCAAACTTCCTTCTGGCTAGGTTTTCTTGGGTCAGGCAAGCTCCATGAAGTGCAATCCAGCTGAAGCAACTAATCTTCGGGGGCAACTTGATCTTCCATATAAGCTTCCAACGCCAGTGGCTGTAATTGCATTTTGTGTGCCTAGAAGCTTGAATGCTGCTATAACTGAGAACTTCCCATCCCCTTTTGCTACCCAATCGAGTTGGTCTAGTGTTTCACTGTTAATTGCAACATTGTGAAGTGCTGCTAGTAGGCTGACCAACTCCTCAATTTCCCAATCTCGTATGCTCGTTCTAAGGATGATGTTCCATGAATTCCCTTCTCTATATTGTTGAATAGTATAGTTTGGCTCTCTTGCTATCCGAAACGTGTTAGATCCTTAACTCTTTTCTTCTTCTTAGCTTTAGATTTGGAGATGAGAAACTATCGGATCCCTAGACAACTCAAGTGACTTCCCCTGTCTCCGTTACCTCCTATAAATTAATATAATTCATGTATCACAAAATATCTAAGAAAGCAAAAGTTTATTCACCAACAAAATGATATATGTTGCTCCTGCTATTAAATGCCCATGTAAATTGTCTTTGTTACTTTACCTCCCACATGTGCATTATTATTGAAAGACATCTCTTCGTTGGTTAAAGACATTATTATATGATATGATAATTTTCTCACGTTGCCCAACGTCTCTAAAGCTTCTCTTTGGCAACTTTAAAACACACAAAAATTTTGGAATAAATCGAAAGATTGTCATGGTCGATATTGATGGTTTTAATTGTAAGTTCCTAAACCAAAAGGCTCATTAGTGACCGTTGAGCTATGTCTCTATATCGCCAAAGCTTCCCTTTTGGAATTCGAATTGTAATACATCGCCAAGAAAGAAGAAAGATTGTCATCCTCGAATTGATTGTGTGAGTTTTCTAACTGTATTGATATTCCTTGATGGTTGAAAATGGGATTTTCCATTTCAAGATTGCTTCACTGTGATTTCTGGTTTTACTTGTAAAATGGGACGGGTGGGGGTTGGGGGTTGGGGGTTTCTGATTTCAACAATTTAAGATGTTTCCATCTGATTTCTGGTTTTACATGTAAGATTTCTTGATGGAAAATGGGAGGGGTGGAGGTGGGGGTTTGCGATTTTAAGCTTGCTTCACTGAGATTTCTGGTTTACTATGAACCTTTGGTTTTAATTGTATGGTTTCTTGATCGTTGGGGGTGGGGGTTTCCAATTTCAAGAATTTACGAATAAACTTTTGAACAAGACCGAAAATTTTAGTTGGTCGAATCAACTTTGTGAGTTTTCTATCTTTATTGATGTTTAATTCTTGCTTCATTTCTGTTCTGGGTATTATTTTGGAGATTTTTGGTTTTAACGGTAATATTTCTTGATAGTTGAAAATGGAAGGGTGGTGGTGGGGGTGGGGAATTACAGAAATGTTTTTGGAACAAGACTGAAAATCAATTCTGTAAGTTTTCTATCTATATTTCAGCTTACCTGATTCAAGATCAGAATACAAGTATACACTATAATGATACAAATTTCATCTAACAACTGGAATATACATTGGTGTGATATACTATTTCTTAGCAGGGGCTTCTCTGGTGGGAAAGAATGGTATCTCGAAGAAAAGAGGAGGAGGGATTGGTGGAAGAAAAGCACTTAATGATATCTCAAAGCCTTCTGCTCTACATCAAAGAAAACATTTTGCTGAATCCTTGAAGAGAATAACCATATCTCATTGCCAGAAATTGAAATTGGAGCAGCCAGTTGGTGAGATGAGTATGTTTCTGAAGGAATTGAGAGTGAAAGAATGTGATTGTATAGATGAGTATTTGGAGTTTCCACAACCTTACTAGGAGGTTTTTGATTCCTACTGCCACTAAAAGACTCGATATTTGGAATTGTGAGACTGCTGAAATACTTTCGGCCGCATGTGGGGGGACCCAGATGACGTCACTGATTATTGAGGACTGTTGGAAGTTGAAGTGGCTGCCAGAACGTATGCAGGAACTCCTTCCATCTCTTAATACACTGCAACTGCATAATTGTCCAGAAATAGAGTCCTTTCCTCAAGGAGGATTGCCCTTCAATTGACAAGTCCTTTGGATCATCAATTGCAAGAAATTGGGAGTTGCCTTCCTCTATTCAAATTCTTACCATAGAGAATCTGAAAACATTAAGCAGCCAACATCTCAAAAGCCTCACCTCTCTTCAGTATCTAACTACTTATTAATTACCTCAAAATCAAGTTCAGTCACTGCTGGAAGTAGGGCGTCTTCCCTCCTCTCTTTCTGAGCTACATTTATATGACCATCAGGAGCTCCATTCACTAGGTCTTTGGCACATAACTTCTCTTCTACGTCTATGCATCCAAAATTTCCCTAATCAAATTCAGTCACTGCTGGAAATCGTCATCTGTTGCAGAATCAGAATTGTGTCAAAGCACAGAGAAAGGCAATGGACATGAGTTGTTTTTTCAAGGAAGTTGGATTAGATATCATGGTACGACCAACATTTATATTTGATTGAACCGTGTATTAAAAACATTTTGCTGATCCAGTTCTCCTTTGGCAGATGATGTCCCTGTGCATCTAGGAGCATCTCCACATGCACTTGAACTTTCAATGAAGTCGAAGGTATTTGCATTCCTAGCACCCTTTCCTAATGTACATATTCAATGTTTTTGTATTGAATTTCTGATTTTGTTAAATTAAATGTAGTCATCGACATATCAGCCAGAAAGCCTAACGAAGTATTATGTCCAAGTGGAAGAGCTGCCAGAACTGATCTTTTATGATCAGGTCTGTTGTATATCTTTTTCCCCTTGTGCTGCATCTCCTAAAACAGTAAAGCCACGATATCAGCTGGCTGGATGAGAGTGTTCTAGAGTTTGCATTGATTTGGAACACCTATCCATTCAAAGAATTGATGGACACTAATTTCAACTCAAGGATCACTCGCAGCCCTTTGAAATATATCTGTTGTAGTCATTGGTCAGTCATCTATCCTAAATCAACTAATGTTTTTCTATTCTTTCCTTCTATTTTCTTTTTCTAATTTTTTTGTTTCAGATTAGAAGTGATGCAGTTGTGCCTATGATCACTGCCATTCATGTTCCTGCAACTTGCAACATGGACATTTCTCCATCTCACTCAGATGGATCATTAGTCTCCATGGATGAATCTATGTCAACTTCTGACACAGTGAGAACTCCTGAGGTCGAATACATAGATGACCATGAATTGTGGATTTGGAATCAGGGGATAAAATTGTCAACATTGATAAATTATGCGCTACAATGGGCCTGTGAGGTATAAAAATGTTTACCCTCTATTTCTTTTCAACTCTTTGAATTGGATGCTCGCTATGCAGTGGTTTTGCGATAATTTAAAAAGACTGAGCATAGTAGTCAAATAATGTTCTCAATGTCTACAGCAATAAGTATTGACCATGAAATCACTGTTTCCAGGAAGGAGAGCAAGGGCAGTTGCCTGTCTTGGTATTAAGCATGAAGGAAACCGATAAGAAAAAGAGGCCAGCTTTTGTCTTCCTGCATAGTACAAACAAATGTAAAGAGTGGTTACGGCCATTACTATAGGTGATATTCTGTTTTCTTAAAAGTACTCCCCATACTACCATCGAGCAGAAGCAATGAATGACAATTCTATGTACGATGGGCACCTCGAGCCTCCAGAGGGGTGGGGGGCTCGGAGCACGATGCCTCGAGCGTCCCGGGACCTAATGGAGTGATGGAGCGTCTTTGTTGTATTTTGAGCTTTGTTGTAGATCGATTATAAAGGATAGTAGATTGGTTGCTTGTCTAAGTTTTAAAGGACGGTAGATCGGTTACTTGTCTAAATCTTTAGGTTGAGTTGGATTAACTAGTTAGTCGAATCATCTATGTTTTAGTCAAGCCTCTTTACATCATTGTTTTGATGTTCTCTTGGGTAGAGTTGCCTAGGAGTGCCAACTTGATGTGTGGGTGTAACAGAGTTGCTGCTTGTTTATGCTCTTATCTTTGAGATCTGAGTTGGTGACTAGAGTTAGCCTTGTTGGATTCTTGAAGTCTAGATCCACTAGAGTTAGTTGGTTTAGTGGCAATAGAGTTATTGCTTAGTTTTTTTGCTTGTAGTAGAGTTGTTAAAACAAGGAGGAATGGATTAAAGTGTTTTTAATTCCTATGCTACAATCTAGAGTTTGTAATCTAAAGTTTTGCTCTGCTTTGAGTGAAATGGAGTTCGGTTGGAAATTCTTCTGTGAGTATAGGTTGTGGTTTTCTCCTCCCTTGAGCAAGAGAGTTTACATGTAAAAATATCTTGTGTCTGATTTACTTTGAACTATTTATTTTCTATACTATTATTTGTCGAGGGACCTGTCCAGTGATTACTAGTGGACACATCTATTCTATCAATTAGTATCCGAGCTTGGGCTCTCTATTTGGTTAACACCAAGAGAGAATCCCGTAGAAAAGATGGTTGCTCCACTAAACTTGGAAGAGAGTCGATTTAATGGTATGTTCTACAGTGGGCGTTGAAATAGATGAGAACATGGCCTACCTCACTCGAAGATTTCAAAAAATCATGAGAAAACATGGAGGTCACATGAAGAAAGGAAACCTTGACAAGGCTACAAACTCAAATGACTTGTGTCACAAGTTTGGTAAATCAATTCACTTCATCAGAAACTGGCACAAGGTTGAACACAAGGAATATGTCAAGTCTGGAGGAGACAATGACAAAAGAAGGGACCAGGTCGTTAACAAGTCAAGCAAAAGAGAAACGACTGATTATGTGGTGAAGAAAGCTTCCGCCATCTGGGGAAATACCTCAAGTAATTCAAATTATTCTGAATACCCTCATGGTACTTCCATGTTCGTAGTAAAAGAAGATAAATAAATATTTGATTATGTGTACGCCTTTATGGCAAAATCGGAAGAGGATGATGATAATGAAGAGGTAACCCTATCTGACTTCAAGCAAAATGTGAATATTTTTATACTAATTGATTCGATGAGTGAACTAACCACTGAGAAGAATATCTTGAACAATAGCTTAGACATCTTTTAAGATGGAAAAATTGATCTAATTACTCAAATTTATGATATTGAAAAACAAATGGTCGTTCGAAGGAAAAGATAAAAAGGGCGACGACAACAGTTTCTAAAGTAGATAGTCTAAAGGTATGAATACTTAATAAAGGAATCAAAAATTTGAAATGGTGTAAAAAGTATTTATACAAAAAATACAAGGACTAGACAACAGAAAAATAAATGGTCAAGATTTGTTTTTATTTTTTACAATTATTATAATTGATTTTTTTTTACCTCTAATTAATTAATCCTGATCCACTAAAATAATAAATATAATCCCTCCCATTGTTGTAGATAGGTTATAACAATATTTACCATTTACTTTTCAAAATATTTTGATTGTCTAATCTTTATAGATTATTATTTCAAGAATATTTATATGTAATCTAACAAAATATTTTGGGTGTGAGATGGAGTGGGGAATAAGGTTTTGCGGATGCCAGAGGGTGTTGGGTGGGTGCATCATGCATGAATGGTTGTGGAGGAGACAATGAACTTGAAATGTCACTTGTAAAATTTGTTTTCCTTACTTCTATTTGGAAAGTCATTTTAGCGCATTTTTATGAAACTTGTTTTTTGTGTAGAATATTTTTTTCCAAGACATTTTGTCACACCAACCATAGAAAAATTGAAAATATTTTTCTTTCTTCATACAAGATGAACCCGCAACTAAATAACTATATTTTCCTTTGAGTCTAAGTTGTCGTTGTACAATTTTACATAACATGTTCAATTTGTAAAACTAACTTTTCTAGGAGAAAAATAAGATTAAAGTGTACTTAAGGAAATATGATCCTTTAAGTCCTTCAAAAGCGCGTTACACAGAATTTGATACATTGGGTTGTCATTTCTAAAAGAAAAAAAACAAGTAAAAGAAGATGGAAATGGCAGCAACGCAATGCAGGCTAGACATAATGCACATGTAAAATCGTATTGCTTCAATAATTTATGTGACCAAATAACCATACACGATACATAGGACAAGGCAATATTTGTACAATATTGTTATACATTGAGATTAATATTTGTGAATTCATTTTTTTAATTTTTATTTTTTGAAACGGCCATGGTTTATCATAATTTATAATTTACAAACATGATTTAATAAACGTTACATTTCAATAAAGAAGAAAATTAAAAAAAAACTGCAACACTTCTTTTTTTTCCTCCCCCGTTTTCACATCTCCTCCTCCTTTAACAAACATGACCTTCTTAGTAGAACATGTTGAAATGTGTCGACTTAGTAAACGTAGGGATGACAATGGGGCGGTGCAGGGTGGGTTGAGCTTAACCTGCATATCTTTTAATCCGCTTCGCCCCGTCTCGCATAACAATGTTTTTCATTTTCAACCTGCCCCACTCCACTCTGCACCGCCCCACATAATTTTTTAAACATTTTATTTTTCTATCTAAGTTTGATACTAAAAATAAAATTCATAAAAATAAATTTACTTTTCATTAAGTTGTATTAATTTAATAGGATAGTGACTTAATTATTTTTTTTTAGAGGTCAATTGGGAAACATGTAAGAAATTGTATTATTCTTTATTGAACCATTTTGATTTACTATCTTGAATATGTTAGTAGCTTTAAAGAAATTATCTTACTAAATAGTGTTCTATCACTCTTATAACATGTAAAAAGTTAAAATTAAGTTTGAACCAACATAAAGTCATATATATCCGCAACCTGCCCCGCCCCATATTAGTTTAAAAAAACTCACTTGAACCTACCCCGCATCCCACCAGCCCTGCATAACCTTAAACCTACCCTGCCCTACATAACCTTAAATCCACCCCGCCCCACATTTGCCCCGCGCCATAGTCCCTAGTAAAACGTTAATGTTCCACTTAGTAAAACGTGTTGAAATGACACCGTCAAGTCTTATTTAATGTGTTTAAAATAAATAAATTTTAGTTGAGATGTTTAAATGAATGTTGATGTCAATTTTATGTGATCATCGATAAATTTTGTCAATATATATCTATAAAGGTATTTCTGAACAATACATGAAACTCTGTTCTCGTAAACAATAATTCAGACTAACCATATCAATATATTATTAATGAAAATCATATCATAATACATGTTTGTAGCATTATTGAAATAAAACATTTTTTTAAAATAACACCTTATTAATATAGATTTAAGCTTACTAGAGTCTTCCCTAATATATCTATAAGTGATGATTTAGGGTCAATCATTTGTAATTTGAATTTTTCAAATTTCACACTCCAAAAGATTCATATCTCATTGAGGATGAAGCTTCAATTTCTAATTGATTCAAACGATGGTGTATATTAGAACTAGTTTCATTTAGCCAAGGTTTAAATATGAACACTTACTCTGTATTGAGCTGCTCAATCGACTCTCACCAACCTTTATGTCTTGTTTATATCATTTGGTCATAAGAGTTCTTTTTAGCAATCACAATGTCTTCTATGACATTCAAGTTCTTCAAGCCTATTTTTGAGTTGATTCACTTTATTTCTAGCAGCATTCGCTTCTAGATTTGTACTTTCACTTAATTGCATATCAGGATTTTGAAAACGAGAAATAACTGCATTAACTATAGGGCAAAAATTTGAATGAGGCTTACTAGTAGGGGAAACCATCATTATTCTAATGTCAACATTGCATTCTGTAATGAGCTCGCTAGCTTTTTTGTACAAACCCTCACGATGCTTTGTAAATGTAGCAAACATGACATCCTTATTTTCAATTTTTTTTCTTAATCTACATCTTTTCTATATGTTATTTTTAATCTCTGTGTGTAAGAATGTAGTCATGTTTGTCTTTGGTCTAAACCTGTCAAAGTGACTCGGTTTCTTCTAGCTTGGTTTGGATAATAATTTGTTGCTTTTTGTTCCTATCGAATATATGCGTTTTCTTGAGATGTAAGTAGAATTAATCTCTATCCTCTGATTTAGTATGCATATAATTTTACTTTGATTTTGTTCTAGTGAAGAGAATTAATAGCATGAATCAGGGAAAACTTACATAAATATACTATATTAAGAAAATATTTATCATTTAGGGTGTGTTTGGTAGGAAGGAAAATGTTTTCCTACAAAACGTTTTCTTGAAAAACAAGTGCATTTCTAACTTATTTTCCTATGTTTGGTTGAAGAGTAGAAAATATTTTTTAATGTTTGGTTGGTCAATGAAAAATAGTTTTCAAAAGATATCTTTTTATTTTGCCTTCAGACTAAAAAAAATTACTCTTTAGGAAAATAATTTATGATCCAAAAATCAATCCTGATAATTGATCTAGGATTCGACCCCCACACCCAAACTAGGACAAGACCCCGATGACCGTTCCAAAATTCAACCCAGGAAAAAAAAATTCAATTTTTTTTTTTAAGAAAAAAAGATTTGACGGAGTCGCTGGGGGTAGGCGGCTGGGGGTGGGGTAGGGATGGAGGTGGCATAAAATATTGAAATACTTTCCAAAAGCACTTTAAAAAAAATTTGACGGGGG